GGGAAAGAGAAAAGATCTCTCTCGTACGTGCCTCAGTACCTACACGTCAGTATTTCGTAAAGAAAGACGTTTCATCTCGTGGAGCAAAGTTTGCATAAGGACGAACAGCAAGACCAGATCGTCCAATAACAAATTAGAGATTTTTTTAGTTTAACATGCTGATCTTACGTAAGATTTTTATCTCTACCGCCACAAGGTCGTGCTTTCCTTCTAGGAGAAGAACTTGAATATCATCCCCTTCTGTCAATATACATTTATAGAACACTGGTAGAGAGATGGATAAAGCATCAAGGACAGAATTTTTTTTATTACAGACATCAGAAGAATAAAATTAGTCAAAAATTATAGATTCGTTTGACTTGAAACATAAATCTTGTAAAACTTTCGTTCATATATGGATGATGCTCGAGAGGAAAACAGTCAAATATTATTCTTTTATTACAAAATTAATATATACAGAATATAAGAAAAATATGTAAAATAGCAAGCTGAAGTTAAATATCTTTTTTATCATTATAATGCAAGAGCACAAAGTTAATAAAACTTAATATTAATCGAAGATTATGACTAACCGATATTGCGCGATTCTAGATACTTCATCGTGCTGTTTTACTCTTCTGAGATGTCGATATTTTAAAATGCGTATTTCCTTGAACTAGGGTAGATACTAAAAATCAAACACAAAACTATAGGTGCGTTCTGTATCTTGCATGATGCGCATGATGCATACATTGTCCTTGTTTAACATTTGGTGAGCAACAAGGATAAACGATGCATTATGCCCATCACGCGAGAAACGGAACGCACCCTATATTACGTAAGTAGTTTTTAATTAAAGGCTTGCAAGAAATTAAGCTTCTTAAGATTAGTTTCCACAATCAATTTCCTTGAGCAGAATTTTAATCCAAAGAGTTAGTTGGCATTTTTAAGGTTGATTAACATACTCCAACTCGATACCGCAAAAATTTATAATTAAAATTCGATGAACTAAAAGTATAACATTTTATACTTTCAAAATATAATAATTATAAAATAATAATATTCATATTTATTATTATAATCTAAAATGATTGCAAACGATCGATCCAGAATCATCGCATCTATTGACTGTAAATTTCGATTTTGTTTAGCCAACAATGTCGACACGTAGTATGACATTTAAAGAGTTTGCTATGATCGTTGTAAGTTTCGGTAACGAGATGAAACTTGGCTATCCACGCCTGACGTAAAGTTGAAGGTGCACTGGGATAACGATGAAAAGACGGACAGAGATCAAGAGTCGGGCAAAGCTGATAGGTGAAGCAGGGTGAGAGAGCAAACGCAAAAGGAAAAGGGGGCAAAGAGGAGAGAAACTTTCATCGGAGGACGGTTTGCTAGCGATATAGAGGACCAAAGGGGTTTACGGTGGAGAACGGCGAGGGATGAGAAAATGAGGAAGGATGGGGTTGGAAACGCGGGAGAGAAGAATGGAGGCGAAGGTTGCGGGACGCGCAGCAACGCGACGCCGCGAGAGAAGCGGGACAGAGAGAAAGAGGAGAGGGGGAGAGAGGGAGAGCAAGCGCG